AGATCCTCTGCAAGGGGATCTTCAGCACAGATTCCGCCCTTCCTCAGCATCCAACCAGCACAGCAGCAGGTAGGATCTGGAAACAGAGGCGCTGTATGCAGTCGGGGTGAGCAACAGAGGCCAGCAGGGGCTCCCATGCTGAGATTGCCCATTTCCCAAGCCCGGATCTCCTTGGCTGGGTGGAGACTCGGTGCTCCCCTGGGAGCTCCCCATGCTGCCTGCACTGTGCACCAAACTCAGGACCCCGGTGCAGCCTGGGGTCCTCTGCACCCTGGAGTTCTGGGCCAGGCGGGTGGGGAGGGGAGGAAGGCCGGGCTTGGCGACTGCAGGCCTGAGATCAGGTTGCTTCATTTTCTCCCAGGACCTCCCTCCTTCTCCTTACTACTTGCGAGTTTCCAGGCAGGCTCGGGTCTGTGTTGCAGCCTCGCCATGGAGCAGCTCAGCGCTGCCAACTCCGCCTTGGCCCTGGAATTGTTCCGCACCCTGAGTGAAGCCAGCCCCGGTGGGAACCTCTTCTTCTCTCCCCTGAGCATCTCCTCGGCGCTGGCCATGGTCTTCCTGGGGACCAGAGGCAACACTGCGGCCCAGGTGTCCAAGGTCAGCAGACACAGAGAGAGACCCCTTCCCTGCCAGAGTCTGTGCCGAGGATGTGGAGAGCCGGCCTTGGGGCTCTCCCTGCACCTGTAAAATCTGTTTCTGGGCTCAGAGCCCCACTGTGGGGGAGACTTTCAGGACAAGCCCCGGGCACAGTCCATTTGCTGTGGGCTTTCCCTTTGTCCCCTGTTTAATGAGCACCTACTAGGTGCCAGCTCTGTGGTGTGATTGGCTGAGGATGGGGGAGCAGCAGGCCAGGACCCCTCGGGCAATGCAGGTTTCTGCTGTTCTGGCTGCTACCAGGCTCTGTGGCCTCAGCCTATTTTCTGGGAATCGGCAGACCTGCTGGGAACAGGGAGCGCCTGTCATGGAAATTAATTCTGAGCAGAATGACACCGGAAATGCACTGCTGTGTAAGTGGTGGACTGGCTTGCTGAGGGGGACAAGGAGACAGGGGAATTCTGAATTTTGAGGCCCCGCCTGTGCCCAGTGCTGGGTGTGGCTGTAGGTTCTGATATCCTGGGCCCTGTGGGCAGGAGGCCCTCGGAGAACAGAGAGACTGAGACATGTGGCTTCAGGGGAGGGTGAAGCCCTGGGTGACTCTTCCAGCAGGAAAGGTGGGTGATACCCACCTTCTGTCCCCTTATAGGTGTGGGGGGCACCTGTGCCAGGTGTATCTTATTTCTGAGAGAGGGACACTGGCTCTCCCTGACAGCGAGGGAAAGGAGAGGCCGCAGAGAAGGGCTTTTTGCCACCCCAGTGACACCTGACACTCACCTGCAGCCAGGACGGCCAGCCCTGGGGTCAGGGTGATGGACCTTACCAGTTGCAAATCCTCTATGACCCCATTTAATGGAAACATCTCTAAGTGAATGAGACCCGCATCTGCAGAACCACAGATAGAAAAGCCTTTTCAAGTTTCCAAGACCCCACTAGTGCTAACTGGTACTAATTTGGATTTGCTTCTTAAAAGGTCACATCAGCCTCTAATTCTGAGGCTACCCAGGGGCTGTCTGACTTAGCAAAAATGGCCTTAAGAGCCTTCTGCTCCGTTTCCATTAAAACAGATGGCTCACAGCACTAGGCAAGCATCCCACTCTGTGAATACCTGGACCTGTGCACTGTGTGGGTTTGCTCTTCTCTGTCTTAAAAGCGGGGCACAGCTCAGGCCTCATAGAACTATAAAATACTTCTTGATTTGCAGTTCATATATGGGGAATTAAACATTTCCTAAATGTTATGTTTAAAGAAGTGTTTTTTATATAAGTGAGTTACTGATGCTCAAGGGTAGTTAAAGAAAACCCCTCAACCCATAATATCTTTGTGTTCCTGCAGAGGTGATGATTTCTGCTTTTACTGTTTATTTCTCAGAACTTTCAGAAAAATTATATTTGACAAAATTATATAATCATGCAAAATTAGAGTTGCATGTACATGTGAACACACCATTTATTATTTTCTTGGGGAAAAGGAAGACATGTAGAAATATTTATTTACCTAAACACTCATATTTGTGGAACTAGAATTATAACCCAAGAAAGTGATAAAGAAACATTTTTAATGTGGGATGATTAGGTCTCACAAAGCTGTCAGTTTAGGGTTCTCCATCATTTGTTCTCCAATGAAAGACTCAGAAGGTGCTACCTGGGGTCCTCAGTGCTTAGTAATGACAACACATTCCTCTGATGGAAGCAAACACCTGGAAATCACTTTATAATTTCAAAGTAAATGTTTATAGAAAATGTTTTCTTCATTTTAGACTCTTCATTTTGATGCAGCTGAGAAGGTTCATTCCAGATTTCAGAGTCTGATCGCTGCTGTCACCAAGCCTGACGCCTCCTATGTGCTGAAACTGGCTAATAGGTTATACGGAGAGGAAACCTATAATTTCCTCCCTGTAAGTACTCTCTGCCTCATGTTATAAAATTCATAAGACAATGCATGTTTCCCCCAGCAAAATGAAGTCTTTGAAGTCACTTCTAATTTTTATAAATATTCAGAAAAAATAAAGAATGGAAATAGGTAACAGACGATGTTCTCTTTAAGGGCTGTGATTTCATGCTGTTCTTCCCGGTGAAGAGCGTAGTCCTGACTGGTTAAGGCAAGAGTGACACCATCATTCACTTCCAAGTGCAGTCAGTATTCATTATTTATGAGTGTTAGGAAAGATTGGGTATTTTATACAATGCTAAACTTACTGATCTTTACACTTAAAAATGGTTACATTGAATAATATCATGTTATGTATTTTTTCCCATATTAAAAAAATGGTTAGAATCTTTACATTATAAGGAAATGCATGCCTTTGAGGTCAATTTCTATTGCTTCTAAAGATCTTAGAAAACAACTTCTGTATACAGTAAGAGACATTCATAACATTTCTTTTTTTTTTTTAATAGGAGTTCCTAGCGTCAACTCAGGAACTGTATGGTGCTGAGCTGGCCAGTGTGGATTTCCAGGGCTCCTGTGAAGGTGCCAGGAAGGTGATCAATGCCTGGGTCAAAGGACAAACGGAAGGTAAGAGGGTGGAGACAGTGTGGTCCTAGCACAGGGTCCTGCCTCTGTGTCTTCAGCTTCCCACCTGCATGGGGTGCCCTCTCGACACCCTCTCCCTACCTCCTGCTCCTGACTTCACTCAGGGGGTGTACCCCCATTTCCAGTGCTGAATAGATATCAAACATAGAAATTCCTTGCAGTGGAAACTTGGACACGGTTCTACCAAAGCAGCTAAATATTTTCTCCCACAACATTTTAAAGTTAAAGCTAATATTACCTGGACAATAAAGGGAATAAAGATTGGGGGCATAGAAGGGGATATCAGGCCAAGTCCAAATGATTTAATACACCTGAGATTGTGAATCGGGGCTCACACACTTCTGGGTCATGAACCTCTTTCCTGCATTCTGGCTTAGGGGCAGGTGTGGTGGGTGGACGTGGCATCCAGCTGAGCATCCGTCTCTCCCCTGGTGATGGAATGAAATGAGGCATCTACAGACACCCGGCATGTGTGAGGGTTTGCTTGATGGAGCCTGCAATTCAGTGGAGGAACCATCCTGCCTTTGCATATTTTGAAGGTTGCTGCCACCTAGCGGATTTGAAGAAGGACTGGCTTACTAGTGACTCAAAACGTTGTCATGAAAGACTTCGTATTTTAGTCCTGCAACAGAATGGCCATTCACTAACAAGACTCCTTGCGATCACACTCCAGAAAAGGGGCATTTTCTTGTCTACCACCTGTTAGCATGTTAGACTCGTATCGAAGTGTGGACCCTGGGGGATGGTTGCGTCATTCTATCACCCTAGTTAGTTGGTGCAGTCAAACATGCCCAGGGTGTTCTTACCTTAGTACCATGTTAAATAGAAATGAAATGAAAAAGATACATTTGAATTGCATTTCAGTGCTGAACAAAATCAGTACAGAGTTGGAGTTTGGAGGTGTGGAGTTACAAAAAAAAAAAAAAAATTGCTGTACCTTTTTTTAGGGAAGATTCCAGAACTGTTGGCTGCAGGTATGGTGCATAGCATGACTAAGCTTGTGCTGGTGAATGCCATCTACTTCAAAGGCACCTGGCAGGACGAATTCAGAAAAGAGGAAACCAGGGACGCCCCATTCAGGTTGAATACGGTGAGCCCATGCACGGTCTCTTTGCTCTACAAGAGAAAACGTCCTCTTTGCTCTACAAGAGTGCAGATAATAATGAGCGATTTGTCCTCCAACCTTTCAGAAAGACACAAAGATAGTGAAAATGATGTACCAGAAGAAGAAACTTCCATTCGGCTACATCCAGGAGCTCCAGTGCCACGTGCTGGAACTGCCATACAAGGGTGGGGAGCTCAGCATGGTCATCCTGCTGCCCGATGACATGGAGGACGAGTCCACAGGGCTGGAGAAGGTGATGCTCCTGCATTTTGTCTTTTTCTCTCCTTTCCTGTATGAGTCCTCCCATGTGTGCAGAGTGGTCACTGCTTATTATGCCTTTACTGATGTCGCTCACTTTCCCAATCTTTTGTAATCTAGCCCATCACCTTTACTAGTTGGGGGTCCTATGTTTAAAATTTCAGGGATTGTCAGTGAACGTGGTGGGGACCATGTGAAGACCAAACTAGATGTAATGCTGGTCAGTGGCAGCTCAGCAAGCTCTCTTTAGAGTTTGACAGACTGAGGGTTGTTTTATTAAATTGTTTGTTTAAGCCCCAAGACATACGGCATCTGACATTTACAGAGCCCTAACTATGTCCCAACTCATTTAATGCTGATGACCATATTATAATGTAAGTGCCATAATGAACCCCATTTTAGATGAGGAATTAGGATCTTTTTTATTTTTACCTCTGAGCTGAATATATTAGAGATTATTTCACCTCTGTGTGGTTCACAGATCACCACAATGATTAATGGGGTTCAGAATAAATACAACAGAATAAGTAGAAGAAAACTTTTATATTTTTCCCTTACACCACTAACCAATTAGCTAACATGTAATATCACCTTCATGGTAATGATAGCCTTCAGGGTCCATCAGAGTGATCCAGTATGGCAGGATGTTGTTAAGTCATGGACGAGTAGGTAGAGAGGGGGTAGGTATGTAAGGTTGGGTGTGTGTATGGATGGCGTGCCATATATCAATGGACAGGTGAGTGGATGGAGAGACTGGTGGATGGTTGTTTGATGGATGTGATGAAACCCTCTTATTTGGGCCTTTGATGACTTGCAACACATCACTCTCTCATTATCCCAAATGCTGGAAAGTACTGGCACAAAACATGAACAAAACAAATTAGCAATGAGGTTCTGAGTCTGTCATTTAAATAATGCTTTAGTATTTTGCCTATATAAAATTGTATTCTCTGCACATTCTAATTCCAGATTGAGCAACAGTTGACTCTGGAAAAACTGTGTGAGTGGACCAAGCCTGAGAATATGGGTCATACGGATGTCCACATCCACTTGCCCAAATTCAAGCTGGAAGAGACCTATGATCTCAAACCCCACCTGGCTCGCATGGGTGTGGAAGATCTCTTTAGCAGGAGCAAGGCTGATCTGTCTGGCATGACAGAAACCAGAGATATTTTCGTATCAAAAACTATCCACAAGTCCTTTGTGGAGGTGAGTGAGGAGGGCACAGAGGCAGCAGCCGCCACAGCACTTGTTTCCAGGACCTGCAGTCTGGGGCCAGTGGAAGATTTCGTTGCGGACCATCCATTCATCTTCATGATTCATCACAACCCCTCTGGCAGCATCCTGTTCTTAGGCAGATTGTGTTCCCCTTAGAGGCCGTAGAAATACAAGGTCATTCTTAGAGTTTATGTCTGACTGATAGCCCAGATATAACTTCACGAATAAAACTACTATCCAAAACCAAATGTTTAATTTCCCTTGTAAGTGCAACCCTGTTGGGTCTTCACTTCCATTTACCTTGGCGGGGTATTGATTTTCTTCCTTTTCTATTGAAAAACTCAAGTGGTTGTTTCTGAAATCATCAAGTTCAAACAAACATCCCAGATGAGTAGATTCTTGACAAACAGTCATCTGTGCAGGGAAACATGAAGATACTGTGATTAGTTAATAGACAGAACTTCATGTCTGCAGTCCACACCAGTGAGAGAGTCCCCCATGACCCCATGTATATTCCAGCTGTCCCCACTTCATTCTGTTATTCCAGGTACAGCTGCTTCTCCCCAGTGAGGGCCCTGCCAGCTCCTGCAGCTCCATCCCAGCCCCACCCTGGGGACTGGGGCTGACCCCCTCGCCCCTTACACAAAGGGAAACTGCAAATGGATCGTGGGTTTACATGGGAGATGTAGAACCATAAATTCTTAGAGTAACCCAAGGGAACATGGTCAGGATCCAGCACTAGGTGAAGAGTTCTTAGGTCTGACCCCAAAAGCACATTCATGGGAGGGAAATTGGATAAATTCACATGGAAAGGACTGATCTGTCTGCCCCACCAGCAGGGGGCATCACAGAGGAAGATCTCTAAGCCCCTAAGATGCTGAAACGTCCACATTCTAACTTTCATGGTGAATTTTGCTAATAAGAGCCCCGCTCAGAACCTATTTTAGACCTAATTCCAATAAAACCAAGAATACAATTGCCAGAACCCCTAGTCCCTGCCCCTGCGTCCACAGGGCCCCCGGGCCTATCCTTGTAACACACGAGACACAGACTTGGCTCCAGCCTTTCCTTTCGAAGAAGCCCCTCACTCTAGGCCAAGGCAGCCCCAGCTTTACTGTGTGGGGGTGGGAGAGGGCCCGGGAGAGAAGGGGGCAGTAGAGGGCCTAAGAACCTGAAAGGGTGAGAGCTTTTGTAGGGATTTGGGGCTTGGGCACTCATTGCCTACCTGGCACAGCATCTTCCTGTACAAATCGCCCTGAGGAAGGGCCCCCATGGGCCCGGGGTTCAGGACCAGCCTCCTGTGAGGGCAAATTGATGGCATCTCTGGGCACCTCCTAGTGGGCCAGCCTCTGAGTTGGGGGTGTCTGTGACTGTGGAGACTACGGGTGTGGCAGACAACCGTGGGGAGAGCACCTCTTCCCAGGGATTTTGTTGGGGCTCTGGGAGGAGCAGAGACCTGAGATGCTCCATACAGCATCCCTAGGACATACTCATCCCTGTGGAGCCTCTGTGTGGGGACAACTTCCCTGGGGGCCAAGGGGTGGATGCTCTCTCCACTCCTCTCTGTAAGTTCATCATGACACTAAGTAACAGGCCTACTGGCATAAATGAGCACCCTGCTCCCAAGTTTCTAGAAATGAGGTGCTCCTGAGCCCTGTCCTGTGTGGGCATCTTCCTAATGCTTCACCCTATTCCTGGGGTGGCCCCTGGAGAGGGGTAGGGGAAGTTACCCCAATGCCTGCCCTGTAGATGGGGCTAGTGGGGACCACAGTCCCTCCCGGCTCGCCAGCGCCACCGTGTGGCTGGAAAAGGAAGGGGTCCTCGCCCTTGAGCTGTGCTTACTGATCCTGAGTCCAGGCTGGTGAACCCTTTGGGAACTGGCTCTTTAGTCTTAGGTGTGGACACAGAGGGGTGGACGGTCACCAGGAACAGCCCTGGTGTGGAAAATGGATTCACCTCTAGACTCTGAGCTGGTCCTTGCTGTCCTTGGCTCCTGTTTTCTGCTGGCATCGGCAAGTGGTGTCCTAGTCACAGCAGGTCGGTGCACAGAAGATGCCCTCTGCCGCCCCCAGGTGGATGGCGGGTCCCCATGGTGCCAGGTCACACTTGAGACACCCTGAGTGGGGAATGTGCTGTGTTTCCTGAACAAATTGCAGCCAGGACCAGTCCACAGGTGCAATCCTTACAGAAGGGGTTCTAAGGCACAAAAGGGATTCCTGTTCCCAGAAGTGGGCCCTCCTCAGAGAAGGCTCCATGAAAACTTGGCTCCTGTGGGTCATATAATATCATCGACTTACCAGCACTTGTGCACCCAAATTTGGGAGCAGACGAAACCACTCCCAACAGGCCCCACCCAGCAGCCCAGGGCTATGGGATGGTGTCACCATCATCACCTGTCAAATAAAGGACAGTGACTGTGTTGTCACGGCTGGGTGGGCTGAGCGGGACCCAGTGCTCCTGTTGTAGAAATCCATGGTCATGGCTCCCACTTGGTGGCTGATTTAAAATCAGCCCAGGTTTGTGGCACCGTTGCTTTCCCTGAGCCCGGGCAGACTCTGCTTCATAGTCAGAAAACTGCACCTGCCTCTCCCTGAGACACGACAGACGAGCTGTGTCCCAAGAACTGGCATTAACTGCTGTCGCTGTCCTCTAAGTGGGGGGAGCACAGGGGTCCATACAAGCCTCTAGCACATTCTCCCCGGAGCCTAAACCACAGCCGGCAGGCCAGTCCTCACTGATGGGAGGGTGTGCTGTGTGGGCTACAGAAGGCACAGAGGACAGGGCCCTTAGGGACCAGGTCCGTGTCTGTGGGTTCCTCAGCCCCACACACAATCGCACGACTACTCAGGCTCAGGGAACAACAACAATGGGGTGTGTTTAACAAATGGGGGAAACAAACATTCCTTAAGCTCAAGAGTGGAGACTTTTTTTAATTTTTTTTTTATTTTTATATTCCCCATACATTTGCAACCCCCTGATTTTGACCCCAATCCCTCCTTTCCCCCCCACCCCCAAAGTGTGTCTCTGGTTCATAGTTGTTTGTTGATTTTGATTTTTTCTTTCCTATAGTTATTCTTTTTCCTGGTCCCTTATTTAGGTTTTCTAAATTCCTGCTATGAGTGAGACCATCCGGTACTTTTCTTTTCCTTTCTGGCTTATTTTGCTGAGCATGATCCCTTCCAGCGGCATCCATGTTGCTGCAAATTGCGTGTGTTTATCTTTTTTGAATGCTGAGTAATATTCCATGGTGTATATGTACCACATCTTCTTGATCCAGTGATCTATTTTTGGGCATTTGGGTTGTTTCCAAAGCTTAGCTATTGTAAATAGTGCTGCTATAAACATAGGGGTGCAGGTGCTCTTTGGAATTGATGTTTCTGTGTCCTTTGGGTAAATACCTAGGAGTGGAATTGCTGGATCCTATGGAAGCTCTATGTTTAGTAGGTCAAGAAATCTCCACACAGCTCTCCATAGTGGTTGGACCAGTTTGCACTCCCACCAGCAGTGCAGGAGAGTTCCTTCTTCTCCACATCCTCGCCAACATTTGTTGTTGCTAGTTTTTTTAATATGTGCCATTCTCACTGGTGTAAGATGGTACCTCATGGTAGTTTTGATTTGCATTTCCCTGATTTCAAGTGATATTGAACATTTTTTCATATGCCTGGTGGCCATTTGTATTTCCTCTTTGGAGAAGTTTCTTTTTAGCTCTTCTGCTCGTTTTTTGACTGGATTATTTTCTTTGTTTTTGTTGAGTTTCATCAGCTCTTTGTAGATTTTTGTGATCAGTCCTTTATTGTTAGTGTTGTGTGCAAAAATGTTCTCCCAGTCGGTGGGGTTTCTCTTTGTTTTTGTTATTGTCTCTTTTGCTGTGCAGAAGCTCTTTAATTTGATGTAGTCCCAGCTGTTTATCTTTGCCTTCACTATCACTGCTTTGGGCGATGTGTCTGTAAAGATTTCTTTGAGGTGCACGTCATGTAGCGTTTCGCCTATATTTTCTTCTATATATTTTATGGTTTCAGGTCTTATGTCTAGTTCTTTAATCCATTTTGAGTTGGTTTTTGTGCATGGTGTGAGGTAGTAGTCAAGCTTCATTCTTTTACATGTAGCGAGCCAGTTTTCCCAGCACCATTTATTGAACAAGCTTTCTTTGCTCCAGTGCATATTCTTTGCTCCTTTGTCAAAGATTAGTTGACCATAGATCTGTGGGTTTATTTGTGGGTTTTCTATTCAGTTCCATTGGTCCACGTGTCTGTTCTGGTTCCAATACCATGCAGTTTTAATTATTATGGCTTTGTAGTGTAGTTTGAAATCTGGGAGAGTGATGCCTCCATTCCCTTCTCTTATTTTTCAGGAAGGTTTTGGCTATTTGGGGTTTTTGGTGGCTCCATATGAATTTCATCAATATTTTTTCTATTTCTTTGAAGAATGACATTGAAATTTTAATTGGACTAGCATTGAATCTGTAGATTGTTTTTGGTAGGATGGCCATTTTGATAATGTTAATTCTTCCGATCCATGAGCAGGGTTGTCTTTCCATTTCTTTGTGTCTTCTTCTATTTCTTTTAACAGTGTTTTATAGTTTTCTTTGTATAGGTCCTTTACCTCTTTTGTTAGGTTTATTCCCAAGTATTTGATTTTTTGGTTTCAATAATAAAAGGAATGGTTTTCTTGATTTCTTCTTCTTCAGATTTATTGTTTGTGTATAGAAAAGCTACTGATTTTTGTGCATTGGTTTTGTATCCTGCCACTTTACTAAACTGATTGATTAGTTTAATTAGTTTTTCTGTGGAGTTTTTGGGGTTCTCTATGTATATTATCATATCGTCTGCAAATAGTGATAGTTTGACTTCTTCCTTGCCTATTTGGATTCCTTGTATGTCTTTCTCTTGTCTTATTTGCTCTGGCTATGACTTCCAGTATTATATTGAAAAGCAGTTGTGAGAGTGGACATCCTTGTCTTGTTCCAGATCTTAATGGGAATGCTTTCAGCTTTTCATCATTGAGAATGATATTGGCTGTGGGCTTGTCACTAGATGGCCTTTATGATGTTGAGATATGTTCTTTGTATCCAGAGAATTTCAAGGGCATTTATCATAAATGGGTGATGTACTTTGTCAAATGCTTTCTCAGCATCTATAGATATTATCATATGGTTTTTATATTTCTTTTTTGTTGATGTGTTGGATTACATTGATTGATTTTTGGATGTTGAACCATCCTTGTGTCCCTGGAATAAATCCTACTTGGTCGTGGTGAAGTATCCTATGGATGCATTGTTGGATTCTGTTTCAAGGATTTTTTTTTGAGGATTTTTGTATCAGTGTTCATTAGGGAGATTAGCCTGTAATTTTATTTTTTTGTGCTGTCTTTGTTAGGTTTTGGTATTAGTGTAATGTTAGCTTCATAGAACGTATTTAGTAGCATTCCTTCTTTTTCAATTTTTTGAAAAGTTTGTGTAGGATAGGCACTAATTCACTGCTGAATGTTTGGTAAAATTCATTTGTGAAGCCGTCTGGGCCTGGGCTTTTGTTTTTGGGGAGTGACTTGATTACTGCTTCAATTTTGCTGCTTGTAATTGGTCTGTTTAGTTGTTCTATTTCCTCTTTGTCCAGCTTTGGATGATTATATCGTTCTAGGAATTTGTCCATCTCTTCTAGGTTGTTGAATTAGTTTGTGTATTAAGTGTTCATAGTAATCTCTGATTACTCTTTTGATTTCTACTGAGTCTGTTGTGATTTCTCCTTTTTCATTTATAATCTTACTTATACGTGTTTTCTCCCATTTTTTCTTGTGAGCCTTACTAGAGGTTTGTCAATATTTTTATTTTTTCAAAGAACCAACTTTTGGTTTCATTGATCTTTTGGATTTTTTTTTAAATTTCTAATTCATTTTTTTCTGCTTTGATTTTTATAATTTCCTTTCTTCTACTGGCTTTAGGGTTTTAATTGTTCTTTTTCTAGTTCTTTGCGATGTGAGATTAGGTTGTTTCTTTGAGTTCTTTCTTGTTTGTTGATGTGAGCCTGAATTGCTATATATTTTCCTCTTATTACTGCTTTTGTGCATCCCATGCATTCTGGAAAGTGGTGTCCTCCTTGTCATTCAACTCAAAGTATTTTTTAATTTCTTCTTTGATCTCCTCATTAGTCCAGTGGTCTTCCAGTAGTGCGGATTTCAATCTCCATGAAGTGGGAAGGTTCCTTGTTTTCTTTTCATGATTTGTTTCTAGCTTGATGCCTTTATGATCAGAGAAGATAGTTGAAATGATTTTGATTTTCATGTATTTGTTGATGTTTGTCTTGTGGCCCAATATGTGATCGATTCTGGAGAACGATCCATGTGCACTTGAGAAAAATGTGTACTCAGATTTTTTTGGGTGCAGTGTTCTATAGATGTGTGTTAAGTCCATGAGTTCTATGTCTTTATTTAGGGCTCTAGTGTCTTTGCTTATTTTTTGTCTTGTTGATCTGTCCATTGGTGAGAGTGGGGTGTTGAAGTCTCCCACTATATATGTATTTTCTTTAATATCTGTTTTCAGAACTGATAATAATTATCTAATATATTTTGTTGCCCCTCCATTTGGTGAGTATTTGTTGATGAGTATTATATCTTCCTGATGTATTGTCCCCTTGATCATAATGTAGTGTCTATCGATGTCTCTTTTTACTTTTTTTAATTTGAAGTCTATTTCATCTGATATAAGTATGGCAGTTCCTGCCTTCCTTTTTGGTCCATTTGCTTGTAGGATTGTTTTCCAACTTTTTACTTTCAGTCTGTGTTTATCTTTTGTGGTTAAATGTGTTTCCTGGACATAGCAGAAGGTTGGATTTTGATTTTTAATCCAGCCTGCTACTCTGTGTCTTTTTACTGATGAGTTTAATCCACTTACATTTAGAGTTAATATTGATATGTTGGCATCTGTGTTTGCCATTTTGTTTGTCTTTTTTGTGATTTTATTCCTCACTTTATTCTGTTCTTCTTGTTCATTCCTCTGTTGGTTTTGGCTTTAGGACCTCCTATAGAATTTTTTGGAGTGGGGGTTTAGTTGTAATGAATTTCTGGAGTTTCTGCTTGTCTGAGAAGGTCCATATTTTTTCTTCGTAGAGGAAGGAGAGCTTTGCACGGTAAAGTATTCTTGGTTGGCATTTGCTGTCTTGCAGTCTGCTGAATATGTTCCTCCATTCTCTTCTTGCCCGAATGTTTCTTCAGAGAAGTCAGAAGTCAACCTGATTGGTTTTCCCTTATAAGTTATCTGTTTCTTCCCCTTGTCAGTTTCATTATTTTTTCCTTGTCTTGGACTCTTGCAAGCTTTACTAATAGGTGTCTTGCTGTAGTTTTCCTTTCATTAT